AGAGAAAGTATATACTTGAATCTTTTCAGATCACTAGAGACCCAAGTTTTTATTTAAAGGAGTTTATAAACAAGTAAAAAAAGATAGAAGAGATAAGTAAAGACAAGCTTCAACTTGTTTTAATGAAAATATAAAGACATTATTAACAAAGAAGTATAAAACTTCTTGCAAACATTTTTTTTGTGTGTGATTAGAGAATCAGCAGAAAGAATTATCTATATTTTATATTTTACTTTTTTTATTTTTTTTTCTTTTCCAATATAGTTTTTATTTGATATCATTGACTTTGGCAATTGATTAGCAATTAAGTAAGTATTAAAAGGGTCTTAATCCAAAGTGCTCATAAAACACCATGTTGTTTTCATAGTAAAACTTAGTTTAAGATGAGTTTGTTAATAGAAAATATAATATAACTTAAATTTCATATCTATACAATGCTCAAGTATATTTCGTACTAAGTAATCTTTTGACAAATAAACAAACACTATCAGCTGGTTTAATGGGTTATTGCAAAAAAAAAAAAAAAAAAAAACCTGTACTGTATATGATGCATTTTAATTCTAATAGATAATTAAGAAATTCCGAATACTAAATATAAAGTTACATTATTTAAATGAGAATTTACTTTACGATCTTTTTCGAATTTGTTTAACTTTCGCTTTTTATTAAAAAAACAAAAAAAAAAAAAATCTTTTGGGTATTTTATCAATTAATCATATCTTTCTGATTCTAATCAAATTAAATTAAATCTTTTGAGCGAAATAGAAATAAATTAGAAAAGTGAGTTATTTACAAAATTTTGATACACGTGCATGCCATTTCAACAATTCGTGACGTTTCGTGGTCACCAAAACAAGTGTCTATGAGAAATGAAAAACGTCTATCTTCGTAATCATTATCATAATCATTACCGGTTATCAAAAACCTAAGCCGACTTCCCAACCTCTACCTGCGATTTATCCATTCCTTATCTACATTCAAGGAATTCCACACATCATCTACAACGCACCTTGGCCCTCCCATAATTTCGCTCCTCTCCTTTTGAACCATTCTTGCCTTTATGATACATAATGCCCTGAATGCCAATTTCCAACAACATGTCCCATCGGGTTTTGAGGTACACATAATGGTATACAAAGCCGAGGCTTTTAACATCAATTCAAATAATGTCATCTCCGAAGTGAAGTCTGACCGATCTACATTTCTTAATAGTTCACTTCTGTATTGATTTATAGGCGGATCGTTTGTAAAAATTCTTAAAAACTCAAAATCTACCGATATGAGTTTTTCCTTACGCTGATACTTCGGATCTTTGTTTTGATAGAAGTGTGGTTCTTTGGTTCTAGTTTATGTATTCTCCGATTGAGCTTTTCTAAATTATCTAGGATCGATTGCAGTGGTTCTGGCTGTTCATTATTGTGTTCTCTATTAATATTTCCATTGGAAGTCATTCTATATTTATTTCGCTGTCTTTCCTTTTGAAAATTTATTGGTTTTCTGTTGCTTCCCGTGGCTGGATTTCTTGAAACAAATCTTTTGGGAGTTTGGTTCATTGTGTTTCTTCCTTTTTTATTTTCTTCATCAGT